GATAGTGGCGCAAGCCACAATTTCATTAGTAGGGTTGGCGGAGGAGCTGAAGCTGCCCATGGAGGACACGCCACCCTATTCGGTGAGTCTGAGTGATGGACAAAGAAAAAAGACTCGTGGGTGTTGCTAGAGGGTAGTAATTACCCTGGCAGAAACTTAAGTGAAAGAGAAGTTCCATCTGTTTGAGTTGGGCGGTGTAGACATAATTTTGGGTGTGGAATGATTAGCCAAGCTGGGGAAAGTGATGCTGAACTGGGGGGAGATGACCATGATGTACTAACAAGGCAGAACAAAGGTGATTATTCAGGGGGATCCGACTTTGGTTAGGAGATTGGTGGAACCCAGGTCATTACTGAAGCTGACAGAGGTGGAGGCTTGGACTTTGGTATGGGACTTGGGCCAGGTCGAAAGGGATGATGAGTCAGGGGAGTATCCAGAGCTAGAAGGGATTCTGGACATTCACTCCCAGGATTTCCAGGAGATAAGGGGGCTGCCCCCAAACAGAGAAATGGTGCATCAAATTCCCTTTGAGGAAGGGGTAGGCCCAGTAAACGTGCGTCCATATAGATACCCAAGAGGTGTTAAAGGAGGTTGAGGAGGATGAGGTGCTGAAGAAGGTGATAGCAGATATTTAGAGGGACCCCAATGCTCATTCAGCATACAAAGGAAGACGGGTGCTATCTGCGAAATCGGTGTGGATAGCTTCTGGCTGAGTTCCATTCGACCAACACGGGAGGCCACTTTGGAGTGTACAAAATGTACAGAAAAGTAGCCCAATCTTTGTATTGGATAGGGATGAAAAAGTCAGTTACATACTTTGTGGCAAGTTTCTTGGTGTGCCAACAACACAAATACTTTGCAACTTCTCCTCAAGGGCTGTTACAACCACTACCCATACCTCACGCAGTTTGGGAGGAAGTGAGTATGGACTTTATAGTGAAGCTGCCAAAATCCCTAGGCTATGATGCAGTTCTAATAGTAGTTGATCGCCTAAGCAAATATGGCCATTTTTTGCCACTCAAGCATCCTTATTCAGCTCAGACAGTAGTAGAGGTGTTTGATAAGGAGGTAGTGAGGTTACATGGGATCCCGGTTTCAATTGTCAGTGATAGGGATCCCTTGTTCTTGAGCATTTTCTGGAAGGAGCTATTTAGGATGCAGGGAACCCAACTCAGGATGAGTACAACGTATCATCCTGAGTCAGATGGCCAAACCGAGGTGTTAAACAAAATTTTGGAGGGGTATTTACGGTGTTTCTGCTCTGAGCAGCCAAAGAGTTGGAGTGCAATGCTGCCTTGGGCTGACTACTGGTATAATACTAGTTATCAGGGTGCAGCCAGGTGCACACCTTTTGAGACGGTTTATGTAGGGATGCACCTTCCTTGAGCATATTCGATTAGGGGAAACACCAATAGAAGCGGTTGCCCAAGGACTGCAAACAAGAGACGAAGCTCTCAAACAGCTGAAGTTTCACTTGACTTGAGCTCAGGATTTAATAACCCAGCAGGCGAATAAAAGGAGGCGACCGACAGATATAAAGGTGGAGGATTGGGTTTACTTGAAAATCAGACCTCACAGGAAATCTTCCATGCCATCAAGACTCCATCTGAAGCTACCAGCTCGATACTTTGGTCCTTTTCAAGTGGTGCAATAGGTGGGAGAGGTGGCTTATAGGCTCAGGTTACTAGAAACAACTAGGATACACTCAATCTTCCATGTATCCCAACTTAAGAAGGCAATGGGCGAAAAGAAGTTGGAGAGGGAACTGCCACCTGAGTTGCAAGCAGAAGAACCTACGTTTTGGCTAGCTAGAATCCTGGAAAGCAGGCAAGTGCAACAAGGAGAAGAGATGGTTCAGCAGGAATTGGTGGAATGGCAAGAAGGAGGAAGAGAGGGAGCAACCTGGGAAGACAGGATTACTATCAAGGATCAATATCCCGATTTCAACCTTGAGGACAAGGTTGTTGAGGGGGCGGAGGGTAATGTTAGGAGGTTAAGAGTGTACAAGAGAAGAAAGAAACATTAATTTCCTAACTCAGTTAGGAAAGGCGGGAATAAGAATGGATAAATAGCAATTGTATAGTCTTTTAGAGGGCTTTTGGTTAGTTGTTGTTTCTAACAGGAATTTTTAATCCTGTAGGGGAGGTTAAGCTCTCATTGGTTCTCTGTACATTGTTTCTTGTCCCTGTTAATACAAGAAAGGCTATTCTTTGTGTTTGGTGTGTGATCTGGAGTGTGTGTGTGGCTGTCTGTTGAGGTTTCTTGAGTAGAAACCTATCATACACCCATGATCCTTATCTTTTGGTATTAAAGTGGGTGGACCCTTCTATCTAATGCTTTACTTGTTGTGTCATACGATGTATGAATTGTTGAGGGATTTGGAGGGTCATGGTAGAATTGGTACACCCATGATCCTTATCTTTTGGTATTAAAGAAGCCTACCTCCAGCAAAGAAAACCTGATGCTATGGGAATGCACATTTCACTCTAATTATCAAACACTATCAATTTTCTCTTGATCTTAATCAATATTTTGTATCTGTTGATGCCTATTTCTTTGAGTTTATTCCATTTTATACATCTATTTCTTCTGATGAAGACATATGCAGTCACTTTCCCGCCTCTGTCAATATTCCTTCATCACCACAAGATTACTCTACCATGCCTCAAATGCTTCTCCAACACCTCTTCAGGTATATCAATGCCAACCATGACCTATTAACATTCCAACGCAAGACCCAGCTTCGATGAATAATGATATAGTAGACNATCAAGGATCAATATCCCGATTTCAACCTTGAGGACAAGGTTGTTGAGGGGGCGGAGGGTAATGTTAGGAGGTTAAGAGTGTACAAGAGAAGAAAGAAACATTAATTTCCTAACTCAGTTAGGAAAGGCGGGAATAAGAATGGATAAATAGCAATTGTATAGTCTTTTAGAGGGCTTTTGGTTAGTTGTTGTTTCTAACAGGAATTTTTAATCCTGTAGGGGAGGTTAAGCTCTCATTGGTTCTCTGTACATTGTTTCTTGTCCCTGTTAATACAAGAAAGGCTATTCTTTGTGTTTGGTGTGTGATCTGGAGTGTGTGTGTGGCTGTCTGTTGAGGTTTCTTGAGTAGAAACCTATCATACACCCATGATCCTTATCTTTTGGTATTAAAGTGGGTGGACCCTTCTATCTAATGCTTTACTTGTTGTGTCATACGATGTATGAATTGTTGAGGGATTTGGAGGGTCATGGTAGAATTGGTACACCCATGATCCTTATCTTTTGGTATTAAAGAAGCCTACCTCCAGCAAAGAAAACCTGATGCTATGGGAATGCACATTTCACTCTAATTATCAAACACTATCAATTTTCTCTTGATCTTAATCAATATTTTGTATCTGTTGATGCCTATTTCTTTGAGTTTATTCCATTTTATACATCTATTTCTTCTGATGAAGACATATGCAGTCACTTTCCCGCCTCTGTCAATATTCCTTCATCACCACAAGATTACTCTACCATGCCTCAAATGCTTCTCCAACACCTCTTCAGGTATATCAATGCCAACCATGACCTATTAACATTCCAACGCAAGACCCAGCTTCGATGAATAATGATATAGTAGACCAATCTTCTGTTCTTGTTGAAGAGTGCTCTACGTTCTTTCTAGAGAGTTCTCAATTTTGTTTAGAATTTGAAGGAAGAAAAGGTGTCAGTTGAAGATGGTTTAGGTCACGTTGCTAAAAGATATAGGAACATATGAGTGATAGAGCTCTCTCAAATGTAGTCTCTTTTATTTATCTCAATTGGTATCAGAGGGTTGATCCTGCTTTGTTGGTCTTAGTCTTTGGAGAAATATCCACCGTTTGTTGTTGTCTGCCATTGTAATTTTCTTTGGTAACCACTGGATTTGGAGTGTCTCTTTATGTGATGACCAACCCTATAGGTCTTTAAAGTTGAATCAGCTTCACGTGTCACCACACACACTCTTGTTCATTGCTACTAGGTGCTTAACATCCACGCATTGACTTCGGATGTCCTCCATAGGTCTCGTTGGACCTCTCGTCTTCGTTCTGACTGAAAGTACTCCATTTTTGGTGTGGTTGAAGATCAAAACTAGTGCTCTCTTTTTGTTTCTTGTTGGCTGTTTTCTTCTCTGTCAACAAAAATATCTTTTGGACCTGTTGTCTCCTTCTTTGAAACTCCTACCATTACCTCTTAAAGATTAATGGAAAAAAGTTATCTCTCTTTGTTTGTTTGAATTGAACTTCGGTTCCTCGTCCAAGGTTTCCATTATCACCTTAAACAAGACGAGAGTAATGACAATATGTGGAATCCAAGTTATTGGGTACTCAGATCGTTTAAGATGTGCAACTACTTTTGGAAAAAAGGCTTAAAATATATTTGCAAATGATATTCAGCGCATTTACGTCTCTACCAATAGGCTTGCCTCTCTTAAACAAACAGACCATAACATGATGTCTTTTATTAGTGAAGCCCAGTCTATTATTGAAGAATTAAATACTTTCTTGGAGGTTTAGTCTTTAGACAAGATCTAGAAGATGCTGGACAATTTCTCTAAGGTGATGATCCTCCGTGCCATTCTTCCAAACTTTGAACATGTTAAGATTAACTTTTAAGAGGTCTCAAAGTCCATTGATGGAAAGTTTGACAACCGAACTCCTTCAGGTTTCAACACTTAAGTCTTATCCTATATTTTGATGAAGTATTTTCTGGTTAATACGAAGAAGATTGGTTTTTATTCACTTTGACTGAATGATAAATCATAGAAAATCAGAGCATATTTTAGTATGGTTCAGTTAAGTCTTGTTTGCTATGTCTTTTCTGTTCATCGTTTCTATATTGCATTTTTTTTTCTTCTGGTTGTACTTAGATGGTGGTATTGCTGGATTGACTTGTTTAAGTGGTATGAAATGATCTTATACTAAAATTTTTATTTTTAACTTGATTTTGAATTTGACATTTGTTTGTCTTTAACTCATTGGGACATAGGTTAGTGCCTCGTATGAGCAGGCTTTGGTGGATGCACGCAAGCTTATTGAGCGTGAAATGGAAAGATTCAAGATCTGTGAGAAGGAGACAAAGACAAAAGCATTCTCTAAAGAAGGCTTAGGTCAACAGCCCAAAACTGTGAGTTTTTAACTCAATATTCTTTTTTATTTTATATATTTTTGGACTTTGTAGGTGTATTTATGACAGTTTTTCATTCTCAATCCTTTGTGACAGGATCCTAGAGAGAAGGCTAAATCGGAGACAAGGGATTGGTTGAACAATGTGGTATAAAATTGATTGCCATGAATAACTATCATTTTTACTTTTGTTTTTCTTGAATTTGGTTTGTGTTGAATATAGTGAAAAACTATATTTGAATTAATCTCCCTTGTGTAAAATACACACATAGGGTTCTCTATTTATAATAAAAGAAATATGGGCTAAGCCCAAAATACAAATGAGAAATAATAACAAACTAAGTAAAAGATAAAAGATATAATATATCTAACAGTTTGAAAGCTAACTCAACGCAAAAGTTTAGCTCATGATATCGTTGAAGTGAGCATTACCCAAGGCTTTTATAAATACACAAAAACACACACACCTCATGCCTGGGACATGACATATGGAGTGTAGAGATTGTTTTGGAAAGGGAAAGTCATATGGTCAAGTTGACTGTGTGGTAGTTCGTGGGGCCAAGTTCAGTTTTTGGATACTTGAAGATGTATCAATTTAAAATCTATCGTGGGATCTGAAACTATCTTGGGGCTAAGTCAATTCCAAAAACTATCCCTTTAGATGAAGATTGCCTAATTCTCTTTATAAATTCTACAGTGACCATATTTGTAGTTGATATGGGATCTCTACAGTTGTGATCAAAGCATGGACATTAATTATTGCTTTAATAGCTTGTATACTTCATGTAACTTCATAGTATTAGGAAAATGATTTGTCATGTTTGCTTTGTTAGTCATAGTTCTTGCAGGTTGCAACGTGGAAAATATTGCAGGTTCACTGTTGACTGTTAAGATACCTTTTCAATGATGAATTTTGTTTTTTTGAAGTTGGTTCTCAAAATTTTCTTTCCATAATGATATTTTCACAAGTATTCTGCCTGCTTCACATCATATGATTAATATTGTAGTGTCTCTGTTTATACAAATTTACTGCCTGTTTACGTCATGATTAACATTAGAGTGTCTCTGTTATATCTAGAAACGGTTGTATTTATTCTGAACTTTTAATAGCTTATTTATATTTCTTCATCTGGAAATTGTTATTTTAAATGTTTGAGTAGGTTGGGGAATTAGAATCTCAGATCGATAACTTTGAAGCTGAGCTTGAAGGAATTTCTTCAAAGAAAGGAAAGAACAAGCCACCCAGATTGGTATGTTGTAGTAAAGGAAATACAGTTTCTGGGACTGATTTACGCTGCAGATAATATTTCCTTATATATTGTTAATTACATAATTAGGAGATTTAGTTAGATTTCGTAATTAGGAGGACAATTAAGAGGATTAGTATGCTGACAGTATATTTTATATTTATTGTACGGAATCATTTGTCCTGAATTATAGGGATAGATTATATCCATCATAAATTAGGATTTTCAATTATTAAGTCTTTGTATTATTCTATTCAAGACCAATTGCTCCTCTATGAATAATATCAGAAATAGTTTTTCTGTCAATCTAAGTCATGGCTATTCAGATGTTTGTGTCTGTTGATCAGATACATCTAGAAACATCAATCACTCGGCACAAGGCTCATGTAAAGAAATGTGAATTTATCTTGAGGCTACTTGATAATGATGAACTAAGTCCAGAGCAGGTGAATGATGTCAAAGATTTCTTGGATGACTATGTAGAACGTAATCAGGTTTGTCTTGCATAGCTTAAACATTTTCCATTCTGCTTTTAAACACTATAATTGAGTTACTTTATTTATCTACCCTTTATAGTCTTGAGTTAGTGTGAGCAAATAACCTCTTTTATCAAACAATTAGTTAGTTTGTGGGAGTGTGTAACTCCTTTTATCGGACTGTTAGTCATAGCCATCATTATATGTTGCATTCTGATAGAGTAGTTTGTTACGTTGGTCACTGTCAGGTTGTTATTCTGAGAGAGTGGGTTTAGGTCTTATTCAATCCTTCAAAGCCAGCCTTTAATTCAAGGTGTGTGTACCTTATGTATATACTCTATTTTAGCCATATCTCTGAATGGTATGGGATCTTCAACAAGTTATAACTGGTCTAGTCAGTTAGCTGAGCTTCTTGAGTCTATATATAACTTCTGTCAATAGAAGTTCGTGAGCTGTACAAATCTCAGAATAATAAATACAAAGTTTCTTTTCTATTTTTGTTTTCAATAGATACTGTCAGAATCCCATGATTTATGCTGCACTTAATATTTTCCTGTACCGTTTTAATTACACAATTAGGAATTAATTGCAGGACTAATAGGATAATTAGGAGGATTAGTAGGCTGAAAGTATATTTATATTTATATTACAGGATCACTGCTCCTGAGTTGTAGGACTAGATTAGGATTTATATCCATCATAAATTAAGATTTGTAGTTATTATGTGCTTGTATTCTATTTTAAGAGGAACTGCTCCTCAATGCATTATTTGAAACAGTTTTTCTGACAGATACCGGGCAAATTTTTTGAATTGGTATTAATTTTCTGTCTAACCTATATTTCTTTTTTTTATAGGAGGACTTTGAAGAATTTAGTGATGTTGATGAGCTATATAGTTCATTACCCCTAGATAAGGTGGAGTCACTTGAAGATATTGTAACAATTCCCCCTGGTCTTGCTAAGGTATTTGTTTAACAATTATTGCTATGTTGGAAATACTGAGAGGTGCACACACTAACACATATTGATGCATCTGTAGTTGCATGATTTCTAGCTTCTGTTGAGATACCCTTTTTCTTCCTATGTTTATTACAAAGCTGTCATAAACTGCAAATTAAAGAATTACTTCCTGAAAATTAGTTAATAAGTTAATCTTATGCAGATTAGATTTGTGTTACTGGATTGGGACACACTTTTTAATCCACCAAGGCACTTTTTAAGAAAAAAATTGTGATGGAAGCATTGAGCTTCAAAACAGATGATACTTCGAATTGATAGATTCTAACGGTATTATAGTGGACCTAAATTAGAACATTGATGTTATATGTGGGGACAAAAAATGAGTTTCCTGTCACTCCTATCCTTTAGCCCTTGACATGGGAACTTGTTTTAGTAAGTTCGAAAGTCCTATATTCCTAAGGAGTCAATTTCAAGGGAAGCTCGCATACACCCTACTTTCTTAACCCACCCAGATGTCTTTGAAAAAGAAAAGCTGTGGTAGAAGCACATAAAATAGACTATATCTCAATTGCAGTGATTGATCCTAATGATATTATCGTACCAAATTGAAGTCAGAAAAATAACTTTAAACTTTGGAATAGAGGTCATGTGTTAGGTTCCTGGATTTGAAACCTAACTATGAACACTAACAGTAGGTAGAAACAGTAAAGAAAAAATGGGTTCTATTAGTGACAGCAATATAAATCTCTTTACAAAGAATGGTTGGAAGCATAACCTCCCTGGTTGGGAGCATAACCTCCCTCTTCTGGTAAAAGTCCAGACTTTACAACAAAATCACTCAATATCCCTATACAGAGTTTACAAGAGTCTATTTATAGCTCTAATAGCTTTGACCCACTCCTCCTTACAACAAAAACCCTTCCCAAACCGAAACCAAACAGTTCCCTGTTAAACCCGTTCGGCATGTCCCTGTTACCATTCGACTTCCAACCTAAACCCCCTGTTAAACCCGTTTGGCATGCCCCTATTACCGTTCGGCTACAAACCTAAACCCCCTCTATCCTATCATCCTATGTCCTAACATTACACCTGGCGGCCGAACAACCTTGTCCTCAAGGTTGAAACAGGTAAGCTTGATCAAAAGGCTTGGGTGTTGGCAAATCCTCCTCTTCATCGTCTTCTTCATCCTCTGCTAAGAGTACCACCCGCAGGCTCCTTTCTGGACAATGGTGACCGGCCGCGAATGGTCCTCCACATCGAAAACATTGTCCCTCTTCTCTTCTCTTCAGGAACTCAGGATAGGGCATGCTCGTCACCATTCGGCTTCTGTTGTCGCTCCCGCCCATACTGTTCGGTCCCACGTTACCGTTCGATCTAGTGTTGGCACTCGTTGTGACTTCTCTTCTCATTGATCCTACACTTTCTCTGCCCCGCTCGGTCGATTCGGATTAGGGCGACTTATCTCGTTTTTTTGTTACTGCCCCGATCGCTTGTTCCCAAGATTGCGAATGCTTGGTCGCATTCCAACTTCCCCCTCTCGCTCCACGCATTGCGTCCTCCACGTCTCTCGCGATTCTCATTGCCATTGTCAGCTCTTGCGGATCGTGAATTCGAACCTGTCCTTTAATGTCCTCGCGCAATCCGGCAAGGAAGTATCCCAGTATCTGCTCCTCCGTCACGCCATGGGTTTGCCCCACCAATGTCTCAAATTCCCGGACATACTCTTCCACGGTGTTCTCCTGTTGCAGTGTCGCCAGTCGTTCAAACACCGTCTCCCGAAATCCACCTCCAAACCGGCTGATAAAAGTCCAGACTTTATAACAAAATCACTCAATATCCCTATACAGAGTTTACAGGAGTCTATTTATAGCTCTAATAACTTTGACCCTCTCCTCCTTACAACAGAAACCCTTCCCAAACTGAAACCAAACAGTTCCTTGTTAAACCCGTTCGGCATGTCCCTGTTACCGTTCGGCTTCCAACCTAAACCCCCTGTTAAACCCGTTCGACATGCCCCTATTACCGTTTGGCTACAAACCTAAACCCCCTCTATCCTATCATCCTATGTCCTAACATCATGTTTGTGTTAACTATACAACTATAGTGATTTTGGGATTTTGCTGGTCCGTGTCACTTCATGGGATTGGCAGATGAATTGTTGCTTGCAGTAATTGTTTTTTCCAAACTTAATGATTTTTTGTACTGGGTTTTGATTGTTTCTGCTGGTTCAAATGTATGATTTTGCTATCCATATTTTTTATTGAAATTTCCTGTATGCATATTATAATTTTTCTATAAATGGATCTCCTAATTTATTTGCTATTTTGGCAGGTGGCACCTGTTCTTAGCTTGAAGCCTTTGCCAACATCAGCTTCAGCATCACAAACATCTGTGTGTATTCCTCTATTCTTACTTTTATGAGCTGAAAAAGTTAAGTCATTATTATTGAAAAAAAGGGATTTTTTTTTCAGAAGTTTTCAGTAGGAATATTTATGCAGTTTTTCAAAAAAATTGATGTGCCTGTCAGAGAGATAAGGCTTACTTTTCCTTTCTAAGTGTTTTTTGATGGTCTTCATTGATATATAAACGCTTTTGGATAGGTTATGCATAGTTTTGGTTCAACCCAAGTTTATGGGAATTTTTATTTTTAATTGTCAAGTGTGTTAACTTATTGTTAATGGCATCAATTTATGAGATGTCTTAACAAATTGATGAGTTGATTAAAGAAAAATAATCAAAAATTCGTGCAAGAAATGAAGAAAGTACTCAAATAGTTGTTCAAGACCATGTTAACAATATTTATGTTACATATGGCACCAGTCAATCCAATGTTAACATTTTTTATAGTGTTATTTTTCTAATGGAACCTTTTAAGAATAGTACATGATGGTCAATCATGACTGTAGTTCCACCAAGTGGTTGTGTCTGAACTACCACTTAACACAGAAAAACCTATTGCTTATGGGAAAATCAGTTGTTCATTAGTCCTTGTATGGGTGACTCCAATTTCTAATCTTCAAATGCTTCTTTCCAGGAGCAAGCTGATGATACAGCTTCTCAGGATAGCAATTCTGATGTTGGTGCAAGAACTCCACCTCCTAAAAGTAGTACAGTTAGTTCTACTGCGACAACACCAGCGGCAACACCAGTGGCGAATTTTGCTACTCCTGTTTCTATAAATGTTACGGTGCCTAACTTGTCAAGTCCGCCGCCCATTTCATCTCTCACACCTGGTTCAAATTCTCTTCGGAGTTCCTTGGAAATTAGTAGTGCTGTCAATGCTTCATTTGTAAATCAGTCTAGCACTGTGAAAGAAGATGAGATTAATAGTTTCCCTGTCCGAAGACCATCTCCATCACTTTCTGATGTTGCACTCATAAGGAATATCAGCAGAAACAGCCTGTCAAATCAAACAACAAATAACATACCTGTTGTATCTGGGAACATGGTTTCCAGCAATGGGCCCCTTGGTTTAGTTTCTTCAACTTCTGAAATAACCAAGAGAAACATATTGGTTGCTGATGATAGACTCGGAAGCAATGGGATGGTACCAACTCTTGTATCCCCTTTAAGTAATAGAATGATTATTCCTCAGGTTGCAAGGGGTACTGATGGAACTTCCTCAGTTGACTCTAGTAATGCCAATGAAGGTGCAACTTTGTCTGGGAGAGTTTTCTCCCCTTCTGCTATTCCTGGCATGCAATGGAGACCTGGAAGCCCCTTCCAGAATCAAAATGACATGGTACACTTTTGCTCTTAAATTCTTTTTGCTATTCCAACTGCCACGTTGCCTTTTGTTTATTTATTGTACTTGAAGTGTGAACTGTTTGTTACTTTTCTTCTCCAATTATAAAGTATGTCATTCATTAATGATCTAACTTGGAATTTGTTTGTAATGCTATGTTGGTTGAATTTGCAACTTTTATATAATTCCAAACCGAAGATAGACATGTAATGCTATCAACAGACCTTAAAAAACTAACCTACCCTTACACTCTTCAAAATGAATTATGCATTCAATAATTGTTTGGCTTATCATTTCATTAATCATATAGTTGTATGTGGTTCATCACAGGTGATGATTGTAGGTTGAACTTGATTTTTTTTGTATGTTTTATGAGAAATACCTGTATCTAAATTTTTCTACCTGCTCTTGTCATTTTCCTTTTTCTTTTGATACATTTCTTGAGGATTTCTTGTTCTCTTACTTTTCTCTTTTGTATCTTATTCAGTTATTTGATTATCAAAGATTAGAAAAATCTTTTATGCTTGTTTTAGTGACTTTAGTGATCTTCAATGCATTTGAGGTCAGCACATCTGCTAATTTATATATGAAAGTATTTTGTGGATGAGTATGTATATAGGCCTATTCAATTGAAAAATGTTACTTGGGTGCACATACAGGCCTATGTTGGGGAGATGCTGGCTTTTTGCATCAGTTTTGAGTCTGGTACATGTAGATCATTTAATGTATCTAGGTTTTCTTTTTTTTCCTTTTGTTACGGATTAGTTGAATGAAAGTATGTAGTTCAAAAATTGTGATGCGATATTGTCAAAAACCATGATTGACGTGGTAGTAATTGTCGTGATATATTTTAGGATGTTTTTATATTTGATGGGCTGTATTTATGCAACATTTATGTGCTGCATTTATTAGGTTTATTTATGTATGATTGATCCCGTAATCATAGGGATCTGTTTCTTAGAATTAACTGTCTGCATTTCCTAAAATATGCAGCTAACCCATGTATATTTATAGAGGTTAATAACCTCATAATGAGAATAAGAAAGAAATAATATTCCTTCTAAATTTGAGATGGTATCAGAGCTCCCGATCCCTGGGAGTCTCTGACCGTGCCACCAAACTGCAGCCGCAGCCTTCATTGCTGCGCGATCTGTAACCTAAAATCACAGCCTTTATTGTTGTGCCTCGGAGCTAGCCTTCATTGCAGTGTAACTCCTTCTACCTTGATTCCTCCTTGTTATGGCTGAAGTAGTGAATCTGGAAACTGGGGACAGTCCCCAAACCACTGGAGAAATGCAGAATATTCATTCCACTTATATTAAATGGTAAGAACTATCTCACAATGGTCCCTCAAATCATTAAGACCATCTTGAAAGGTAAAGGGAAGATCAGTCCCCTGACTGGTAATGCACCAGATGAGACTGATCCCAAATTCAAATCATGGTATGAATAAGACTCCCATGATCCATGGCATGGGGCTATGGTAATTCAAGGTCCCAAAATCAGTGGATACCTGTATGTTTTCTGAATCCGCAAGAGAAATTGGGAGGTAAGCTGAACAAACTTACTCTAAGGCCAAGGATGCTGCTCAAATTTATGATGTAAAAGTGAAGACTGTGGCTGCCAAACAGGGAAATAAATCAGTCATAGAATATGCCAATCAACTCAAGTCTCTATGGATGGAACTGGATCACTATCGAGTTATAAAAGCAAAATGCTCAGAAGACTCAGCAATTCTAAAGGATTTATTAACATATAGGGTCTATGATTTTTTTGGTAGGCCTAAACCCCTGAATATGACCAAGTTCGAATCCAAATCCTGGGAAAAGAAAAGGTTTCCAGGGCTTATGAAGTGGTTGCCCTTTCCGGAGTGAAAAAGCAGGAGAGGGCTTATGCTGGAAACCTCAACCATCGAAATTCTGCAAATGATCAGCTGAAGGAGGACATCATGACTGCCAACCAGAAAGAAATACTAACTGGGTTCCCAATATGGAGAAAAAACATGAGGAGGTTGGTGTACTCATTGTAATAAGCCACGCCACACAAGGGAAAAGTGTTGGAATTACACGGAAAACCCCCACGCCGAGAATGGGGGCTGAAAGATGGAAAGATCTCAGCGAGAATGGGGGCCAAAAACCCAAGCCGAGAGTGGGGGCAAAAAGGAGCGTATACAAAAAAGAGGGCAAGTGGCAAGCATACATTGCTACTGGTCAAAGTGAAGAATCTGTACAGTTGAAAATCATGAAGATAGAACGGGTAAGACCTTTCTTTAGTATTGGTAAGCCACCAGTACAGGTATGTGTACATTGACAATAACTCTGGTAAGGTTGCCATTTCTTGTTTTGGGCTCAATGTTTCGATACACCATTTACACATTACTGGATATTAGACTCTGGAGCCACTGACCATATGACCCCCTTACCTAAATACTTTTCCACGTATTCCCCATGTCCTAGCAACAATAAAATTTCTACCGTAGATGGAACCCTTATAATTGCAGTCGGACAAGGAGAGGTCCAAATAAGCCCATCCATGACCTGAAAAAATGTCCTTCATGTCCTAAACTATCCAACCAACTTGATCTCCATACAAAACTTACCAAAGATCTTTCATGTAATGTTGTCTTTTACAACAACGCTTGTATCTTGCAGACAAGAACTCGGGGAGGACGATTGGACACTGCTAGAGATGGAATGGCCGATACTACATGGAGAACCCTAATCTGCCTACCAAGAGTCTTATATCTACATCCATCATGACCAATAAAGAGAAAGCTCAACTTCATCATTACCAGCTAGGACATCCATCATTTCGTGTTATAAAAGTGTTGTTTCCTTCCCTGTTTAAAATTTA